AAACATCCAATGCAGATTTCATTGCTGTCAAATAAAGATATTGCTTTCCTTAATGAAGAGTTGTGTGTCACCACGTGGTACAAAGCAAGTCTAGCCTGTTGATCCACTGCTGAAAGCTACTGAAACACCAGCATCAGACTTTAATGAAATGCCAAATTGATTAAAAGATGGAGGTAGCTAGTCAGCACTGAGGTTGTACAGACATAAAAAGATTCAGAAATACTAACAAATACCTCAGTGTCAAGAGGATGAAGGCAGAACATACTTAGTACAGGGCCCTCAACTTTGGAATTCCCCTGCACTCGTGCCAATGCCTCAGTTTGGTGAGCTTCCAGGCACACTAAGGCCTACTTAGAAATTCTCACTAAAGATGTGTAGGTTGAATTGTGAGGGTCCAGTTTTTATTTTTACCTTGATATGACTGGAAGAGAAGGAAATAACATTTTTCCTGTCATTTTGCTGTGCTGTATTAATTTAAATTGATCTGTGTCTGTATGTTCACTTGATTTGAATACAAACAAAATACATATCCAAAGGACTAGGCACCCATACATAATCAAAATCACAATCCATGTAAAAAAACAAACAGCAACAGCAGATCAGAGGCCAACCCCGCCACTACCAAAAAAAAAAAAAATCACCTATCCCCAACTCAAAACCTCTAATGCATTCAAGACCGATGACACTCCAAGAATGCAACAGATCACCAAACCCCCCCCCCCACATTACTCAGGCATCTCCAAATGCCTACACAAATAAATGCAATTTGAAGTATTCTGAGGGTCAGCAAATTTGGACTATTTTGGACCAGGGAGTGGAAAGGAAGCAAATTTTGTCATGGGAAACACTAGCTGAAATGGTTTCACTGACTGCAACTGTGCCAGTATTACAGGGGGAGAGGGATGTTTTAAAATGTTGTGTTTAAATGTATTATTAAATCTAAAACACTGAGTTTGCCCAAAAAAAAGTCTCTCTAATACCCTACTTAGCTTAACTTACAATTTGTCTTAGTATGAAAAAAAATAAAAGCTAAAGACCTAGCTCAATATGCTCCAAAAGTGAATTGTAAAAACAATAGTATTAATTAGAACACCTAGTTCTCCTTTTACTGCTCTAGCAATTTGTACTGTAGTGGTTACCTTTCCTTGCTAGAAGTGTTTGCCACTGTCAAGTCACAGCCCTAATACAATACAAATTATAAAGCACTGCACATATGATTTTATGGGGTGTGCTGTTTTACAACTAGGACGACGCTTCTCATGCTGGTGGTAAGAGAGAAGCTGTCAAACTGAGTGAATATTGGAATTAAATAAATAAAACATTTAGAAAGATCACTGTCAGGGCCAACAGACTTCGCCTTCCTTTTGAAATTAACTATTCAACTTCACTGTAAGCAATTGACCAAATAATAAAATAATAAAAAAAAAACATGCAGAAGTCCAATTCTGCTCCCAAATTTACTCAAGAAATTCAAGTAAGTGGAAGTTGTGGAAGTTCTGGGAGCATATTTGGACCCTGAGTGCTGAGATTCTAATGATATCCTCCTCTGTGAAGTGGAAATAGAAGAAACTGAAATCATGAAAGCATGCTTTGCTCAAGGTCAACTTTTACACCAGGAGTCTGGGTAATAGACAAAACAATAGAAGTATGTCCTAAATGTAATTAAGACACAGATGAGATAGTGTAAGTCAATCATGACAATATTGACATGTCACACACTGTAGGAATCACAAAATAAGAAGTTTTAAGAAAACATTCATAATTAAAATTTGTTTAAACTTTGTAAAGTTCATACTTGTGCTGTGCAGAACTTGAGAAGCTATAATTAGTTTCAGATTTACAATTGTAAATCATTAGTCTGTGATTGCAGGTAATACTATTTAGCATTTACTTGACATTTGAGATCCATGCTGGTAAAGAGGATTTTATTGCAATAATCTGATATTCCTGGTTAATTACAATATATTCAAATTAAAGCTATTCTATGATTGGAAGCTGCGTTCTCTTTGGAAAGTGAAAACATCATCATGAAATAGGAATGGGGAATTTCAAGAATGTTCTCAGGATAAATAATGTCATTTGCACTGGTTCTGACCATAGACAAAGCTAAGACACCATTCAACATCTGAGATTTAACCCTTTTTAAATAAGCAGTACACATTACTATGGAGATAGCTTGCAGAGATTCAATTTCCTGGCTTTGTGACACTGGGACTTAAATAGAGTATGAGAGTAACAAACTGAAGTCACAGTCCCCATCTTCGGATGTCATACTATACCCGAAACAGAAAGGTTTGGTAGGGTAAGGGACGCTAAAAGGTGTCAGAAAATAATCCAATCACTTATCCAAGAGTCTCTGACAATTACTTGTAGTGAAGCAGAATTTAAAATTTCACCCAGATTGGTACAGACATACACTATGTACCTATATATTCATATATAATTATAGCCAGGAGAACAATCACTACCTCAAAATCATCTTATCCCAAGGTTAAGCTCTGCTATTATAATTTGCTGTGTAGTGCTTTAGAGCTGCTGTTCAGTACAGACAAAAGGCAGAGTGCTTAGTACACCTGACTGTAGTTTAATGAGAAACTGCCAAAAAAAACCAAACCCAAAATCTCATTTCTCATGTAAATCTCAAATAAAAGGAAAACTAAAATACAAGTGGCACATCCCTTCTTAAATTCTGCATTCATATTTATCTAAGAGGTTCAAAATTAATCAGAATCTCCTACTTTCCCTAAGGACATTTGCTATTATACTCCTAGCCAGTTTCAATATTTTACAAATAGCCAATACATGTTCTTAATTTCAGATCTTTTTGAGATTCTTTGTTTAGCTTTTCAAAAGGGAGATGGAGAGATTTTAAGGTTTTTGGTTTTTTTTCCATTATTGCATTTTACTCTTATACAGATGTTAATCCACTACGAAATGTGACCAGGGCCAAACACAAAACATCAAGGTATTTAAAAATACCCACTTACTCATTTGGAAAGGAAGGGCATTCCTCTCAGATGCCACTCATAGCTGCAGCAAACACTTTTTGAAATTGAGAGGTAATGTTACATATAATACACACACAAACGTCACACTTTGGAGGTGAAAAAGTATTCAGTGTGTCATACAAGCTTTCAAATGAACTACAATAGTTGATCTGGCTTTATTCAAAACACAGCAAAATACTGAATGATCTATGGACAGACAGAAGTGGAAATAACTTACACAGAATAACAGAATGAAATTACAATGCTGAAACGATAAAAGATCCCTGTTGGAAGGCCACTCTTTACTACAAGGCTGAAGTCTTGCATGAGGATTGAGTTTCATTGGTTGGTGACCACAGGGCAGTTTTTAAGCAGGTATGTCAGGACTAGTTTGTGAAGGATAAGTCTCACTTTGTTTTCAGATGAGGGGAAGACTACAATAAATGTTGCAATTCCATGTGTAACTTCATCCTGTCCATCCTGTCTCCCTCAATTTTAAAAGGAAGAATCCTTTGTAACAAACATCTCTAACTCTATTCTACCCCTACTATCATAAACCCACCTGACTCTTGCACATACAAGTGCTGATTCTCTATAAAGGCCTAGCAAACCAACAGAGTTTATAATAAACTAACTACTGGTCTGAGTGATAGCCTTTACTGACACCATCTCCCGCACCCTCTCTCTAAGAGTATCATTAGCTCTCAAAACACAAGTTTCCTATAAACTCCACTCACATAACAAACAACTTGGTTCCCAAAGTGTGCTTTGGAGTGGGAGCACTGTACCGTGGATAAAACAGGAAAGCTGGAACAGAAGGTCAAATACAAGTTAGTCATTCTAACATTACACTAGAATGACTTCTGTAGAACTAAAAATCAAACAGAAAGCTAGACACTTAGTTTAACATGAATCTGTTCCACTGTTCTGAGAAAGTTGCAGGGCCCACACCATGGAGATAGACAGACTGTGCGAGAACATGTTTGCCCAACCACAAACTTCAGTTCAACAACAGTGATTTATCTCAGGGAATTCTCCCAAGACAGAAACGGACAGATGCAAGAACTCTTCTCCTTCGCAAGCTTCACATAGAATGGAAAATGGAAAAAATCCAGGAACAGTGTTCATGGAATTTTTGAGAGAGAAATGCTTTAAAAGTCCAAGTAACAACATAACACAACATACATCAGATTACAATGAATATAAAGATAAATGATTCCCTCTAGGAGATGCAATGACCTCAGTATTCCTGCACAAAATAAACCCAATCTACTGATAACAAAACGAAGAGCAATGATGAAGCAAGTCAAATATTTTCAACTACAAAATTGGTACTGGTTATAATGAATACTAAGGGCAGCTATGCCAAACCATCTGTTGTAGACAGTCAAAAAAAAAAAAAAAAAAAAAAGCCCTGACTAAACTAGGTGAAGAGTATAACATGCTAGAAACGATTTTTACACCAAAAGAACTTATTCCAGGACTGCCTGGCTCTTAGAAAAGGATCCCACCACATGGGAGGGGAGATTGTTTTTCCAGGGAGACTAGTGCACAGTGGGGACAATGATTAAACCAATTTATAGAAAAGCAGGCACTTCCCCAGCCCCCAGGCTAGGTGCAGGGTCCACTGGGCCTGTGGGTGACAGACCCAGAGCCCTTACATAACCAGTTAACTAGTTCAGGTACAAGGAACACGGA